CGCCGCAAGCACGCCCAAAGAGATCGAGTAGATCGCTTCCTCTATCAGAACTTAATTGGATATATAATTATATATATCCATATATATAACACGTGATAAATTATTACTGATGAAACACATACACACACAGCAGCTTATACATTGACACAACTATTATTTATACATAACAGAGATACAATTTACTGCTAATATTATATGAAAATAGGAAAATATATAAGATTTTCTATTGTGACAAAAAGCCGGAAACATTTTAAATAAATGAATTTTATGGCTTATTGTTAAAATTGTAAAGCGTCAAACGGAGGTAAGTTGTTAATGCGTATCTACCTGCTTTCATTCAAGATAACTGTACGCTTTTGTCTCGATAACCTTTACAATTGTCATTTTATTAGCTTTCAGCATTATAACTTTCCTTTGAAAGTTATATATCAAGATATAAATAAAGTGAAAACTGGAAAATGGTTCCAAATTAATTTTAACAAAAAGAAAACAAGAATTTTCTATATTTGATTTAAAATTTTGATATTTGCTACAATTTCATAGAATCGTATAGAGAAAAATTTATTTAATAATGTATCCGTTTTAATTGTGTAATATCATTTTTCTATATAATAATATAATACAAAAGAATTATTATATTTTTTAATTAGTAATAAATACAAATAATATTATAATTGATCGATTATATTAAACTTGAAAAGTCATTTTTATCGTAATAAGAGATGCTGTAAAGAAATTATTACACTATAGTGATCATATTATTTCGCAAATATAATAATTCTTTTATATTACGAAAAACGATACTGCCATCAATATGAATATGTCATCAAATAAATCTCTTTATATACAATTATAGCAAAGATCAAAATCAAGATTTTAAATCAAATTTCTGAAAATCGTTACTTCCTTTTCTTTTGTTATTTGGCTTTTATTACGTTTGTATCATTTTTCGTGCGCTTTCTACAATATAATTTTTCTAAAGCTGTTATCGCAGAAAATCAGTCGCTCGTGTCAAGAGAAACGTTCTAATCAGCGAAGAATCGTGGTTGCACGTACGTTGCATGTACGAGAGAACAGCAGTAAGGGTGTCGCTGTTCGAAAAATGAGAATGCATTACCCCGACGCCTTCTCTCGGAGTTCTCGGCGAGATCGACGTTGGTGGTTCGGCGGATAGCACTGGCGTCTGGATCTGGACGCTATTACTAACGTAGAAGCGAGCAAGAGAGCGTACCGGAGGGCGACGGAGAAAGAGAACTCCTCTCCTCGCTTCCAGCATAGGCATTCCAAAACAAAGAGCCCGCGATGCTGGTTCAGCGGTGGACAATATGTAAATCAGCGGCTGGCGGTGGTCACGATGTCGCGACCTCGTCGTTCCGCTTCGGGCTACCTTCTCAAACCTTCGCCATCGCCGCCACCAAAAACCCGCTACTAAACCGACTACTTCCCATAGAGGTATAAAAGATATGTAACCATACATTATAGTCGATGCGAGAAATTTTACAGAGATGATTGAGAAAATCGAATGGAAAAAAGAGAATGAAAAATTATTTCAATACTTTGAGAATTATTTCATCGAGTCTGCAGTTTTACTAAGATCTCAATTATATACTAATTTGAACAATAATTTTATGTAACATAAATATATTTGATATATTTTGATTATTTTTAATAAGTTTTTATATACCAGAGCACTGAGTTAAAAAAAAAAAAACCAATCTTTTTTAAAATCAAGATTTCTCAGTGCAAACTATAGTTCCGCAAACATTTTTTTTTCGTTGGAAATGAATGACATGCATTAAACAAAGCTGTTGTTATAACGTAATGTTACACGAAAAGTCACTTTTTCGTAATGCAATTTACATCGGTGACTTTCGAAAATGATCACGTTCAATCAATCTTGATGCATCAACTGTAAATTCAGACCGTCTCGTACATTCATACGGATACCAACGATGACGCATGCGCCGGTCAGGATGGCTTTGGTTCCCATGCATTTTGCGAGAACGGTTCACGATATAACAGCTCCATGGTCAACTTCTCGGCCGTCCCTATCTATGGCAATTAGCTGTTAAAAGTGTTCGTGTGTTTCACCAGTTATCGCCGACCCACCCACGTGCCCGAATCGCCCTCCGCGCGTTATCTCGCGACAAAATGCATCTCGTTGGACCGGAACAGCTGGCCGAAAACGAGCTCATCGTCAGAGTTGCCGCAGTAGAAACGTGTCCGCGTACAAGGACAACGAAAATATTGCGAAAGAACGGCGTTTCCATAATGCCGATCGTTCCCTCTTCATTCGGTTCTTTAGTCTTTCTTCTTTTTTCCGACCGATATCATGCTTCTAGGAAGTGATCTCAGGGTTCCCACGAACGGCACCTCTTTTCTTTGAAGCGATCTCACCGCTAACCAGAAGAAACCGCGTCGTAATCACTAACACGAGATGCAGCTAAACACACGTGTCTCAATACGAGAGGATATTCATACGATTTATTTTTGATTTGTTTTTAATAAAATGTTACTTTATTTTTTCAGTGTTCTTTTTCTCGTTCTAGTTAAATTTTCATAAACAAATTTATCTAGTTTTCAATATTTTTTGCATATTGTTAGTGTCATATACAGAATTTTATCGTAATTTATTTTTATTGAGAAATAATCATATATGCATAATTTTTTTTTACTGTATTGATTGCATATATGACGAAGCGCAATGTACGTTACATATATATCATATAACAATATCAGGCATGTTATAAACATAATTATAGACAAACACGCGAAATACATATATCTTGAAAACGTCAAGTAGTTTAACATAAGAGATCGCTGTTAATATTTATTAAGTTCTGATGAAGGACATGCACGCATTTCGTTAACGCACGAATAGAGAACCACTTATACTAGTCTGTCGGCTAACAAGGCAAAATTAGTCGTGAAATAAATCTAGACTATTTTAGAACTGTGCGGTACCCATGACAGGATGGCGAGGAATGGAATCTATTAGCACGGTACCGCCTCTCAATTAGCAGCAGTTAAAGATGACCGTGTGCCATTCTCATTTTTCTCAGATTGTTCAAATTAACGATTACTATGAGGTTTCACTCCCTAGACATTTTATCTCTCGTCGTCAAAAAAAGAAAAATCAAAATTCAATATGATTACTTTACAAAAAAAATATTTTTATGTGTCAAAAATTATTGTTGATTAAATATTTTTGTTTATAAAAATTTTAAAAGTTTTAGTAATAAAAGGACACACACACACAATATAGTTTTTATGTAATAATTTTATAAGACGCTGCTGAAAATTTATATAACATATAATCACACATAAATGAAATTTTTGCTCAAGCAAAACTTTATCAATATAGTGAATTAACAATATATTTTTCAAGGATACCGCGCGATGTCTTGGAAGAACTGCTCAACTTTGGAAGCCTTTGGTCTCGACATTATTGAAAGTTGTTTTAAGAATCACTAGGAATGTAGCGGTAGGGACGCCTTCGGGTATTCGAGAATAGCGATGAGGCGAGGACGAAGAAGAATGAAAATAGTGAGTGGCGATTCCCTCTAGCAATCCATGCGGGCGCACTGTCCTAATTACAACGGGGCCTTTTATTTTGTCTTTTTTTTTTAACTGAAAGAGACCGAAATATTTGCCTGCGGCAGTGGCGGGAGCTAAACGATATTTCGGAGAGTTCTCTGGACTCATTTAAAGCGAAGTGCAAAAGAATCGTCGTCAATGATAGAACAAACTTGAAGAGACGCCGAAGAATGGTAGAGAGGGAAAGAACAAAAGCGTATCCCGCAGGAAAAAAAAACGTCGCAGTTTTCCAAGCCATTCATAGCGCCGACCGATCTTCTTAACCTCTTCTCACGATTCATTCATGCCTCCCATTAGATTTGATCGTCGATCTTTACCTGCGCCACCGGTGACTGTGCGCCCTGCGTCATGCTTCCTTAATGCCTTAATAGAGTGTCTGAAGGTCTTCTTCATGGACAGTCTGCCTACAATTGTCCGGCAAAAAGCGTCGGATTTTCGGATTCCATCGAAGAAGATTCATCAATCATTACTTGTTAATCATTTAGTTTAGCCAATATTCTTAGAAATCTTGTAGTAAGTATTATTAAATACATTTATTGCAACACAATATATTATATAAATTCAATTTTTATTATTTTAATGATTTATACGGCATAGTACTGTGTAAAAAACAAAACGCATCCACACACGAACATAACACACATGATATTACAAGCAGTAAAGAATATTTTGATAAAACAGTTTTTCAAAAATAATTTTACAGCAAACATTTTTCCATGATATTATGTACTATCACACTTTAAAGGAATTATCTATTTTTACTTGAAGCAATTATCCCATCTTCTTATAAGAATTCGAGAATCGTATCGCTCTTCAGCGGTCAAACGCAGCGTAGGAAGATGGGCTAACGATCTTAATGGCTAGGCAAAACATTGACACCTTGGCGGCGCTCAGGAGACCACCTGGACGAGGATACCAAAGAGAAGGCGGGCAGGGATCGTTAAACACAGGGTCAGCACGAGAGAAGTGGAAATCCTTATGAGAAAGTAAGTTGGGCGAACGATGACAACGAGCTAACAGCGTGTGCAAACACGGCGGCTTGGGACAGAGCCGTACCCGGTCCGATGATCATGTACTTACGCGTTTCCTCTCAAACACCGACTACGTCGACAGCTCCGGAGACACGGCATCGGACACTGATCATGGGAAAAGATAGATTCCGCTTGTTCAGGTTGGAATGTTCGAGCTGAATGCTCGAGCAACATGTACCGATGATCGGAGAATTGTCTCGTTAATATCCAAAAGTAAATAGTGAAATGTGCACAAAATACATTTACAATTGTATCCTTGGAGCAAGCGAGATTTATTAAGTGCATAATATATATTGATCGATCATTTTTTTTTAACACGTTCATTTAAAAAGCTAATCTAGAGTGTGGCATTGAAGAAACAACGATAAAATGTTGAACGGTCTTTGGTTTATGATATAATGTGATACAACGTAGCGGACATTCTGAGCCTATATCCATATTGCATATCCACAATTATAATCCGTAGTTTATTATTATTATTATAGAATATTATCAGATCTATTTATATACAATATACATATGTATGAAGCGACCGCGACCATTCAATTTAACAATAAATCAAAATATTTACGATCGTATATGGTTTTTTATTTATGCGTTCCATACATTTTTCTACAATTGTTCAACTTGTAATTAAAAAAGACAGAGAGACCGATTAAAGGCGCATGAAAGACATATTCATATTAATCAACGCTAAAATTCACTGCGCTGCTGCATTATTTAAAAAAGAAAATGTGTTTATAAAAATATATACAGCAAATTTTGTGATTTTATATTTATAAAAAATAATATTTTTTTAAAATATAAATTGACCTATCGTGATATGAAAAATATCAGTACTTTATAGTAGAAATATATTCAAAAAAATATTATTTTAATATAACAATCAGTTATTTTAAATTACAAATAATAAAATCAGGTTACAAATAGTGAATTAAAATTCGAGACAATATGCCATGTTTTCTCATCTGTTCTTCTTCTTTTCTCTTTTTTTTTCATTCTTTTTTCTCTCTGTCTCTTTTTTTTCATTGAAACGGAAGCAAAATGGATTCGGTGATGAAAAATTCGGTAATGAATAATTAGTCGCCTGAGGGATATTCTAGGATGCATATATCACAGACGCAAATGGAAATAAAAATACACTTTATACGATGCGTGTGTGCGTACAAATAATGATTTAATGACGAACGCATTAAAATTGTGTCGATGACAACGATGAATCTCGTACGCACATATACATGAAATTTATAATAAACTTACGAGTTTCTACTAATGTGAAAATTAAGTATAATTAAGGGCGTATGATAATATATGCGGTTTTTTTCGTAGGTAATCGCACAGTAACTTTATCTATTGTGACCGCTCTTTTGCGAAACGTAGCCACGTGACTTTGAGTCGTAAGTACCAAAAAAATTCTTCTGACATTAATTTTGAAGATTACTAGCATAGGACGTATCATATGATTTTTTTTAATTTGAAATTATGTAAATGATAATATATTAGACAATAAAAAAATATATATTGTATGAATTTATAAAAAAAATATTGGTAATTATATAAATAAAATATACATAAAACGGCCAAATATTGATCTATGTATAAGATTGTAAACTCATATTGACGACAAATCATACCATATTGACAACAAATTTTCCTCTGATATGCCTGTTGCTAATAATCCTCAATAATCCTAACAGCCTCACGTTTTATTAAAATAAAAACAAAAAAAAAATCGATGTCAGTACAAAAAAAAAAAAAAATCGTGTAAAAGGATACTTTTTAAACAGGATAGTATAAAATAAAATATAATACTAGAAGGATCTTATTGCGAGTGAAATAATTGCAAAATGCAATCGAAAGTGCAAAATTAACGAGCCTCGTTTCTTTGATAGAGAGTCTTTATAATCTGCGAAGATATATCAACAAAAGGAAGCAATAACAACAGCGCGACAAACGGTATGGAATGGTCTTCGAGTTGACTGCATTTTTCTCCTTTTGCACTATGATAGTGATATCATGATAACAAAACTCCGTGCACACGAAATGTAAAATACGTGCGCGCAGAATCTTAATTGTGATATATCCTTCTTTCTTTTATACACTAGGCACTTTTAAGCTCAACTAGATACTTTAAATATAATTAATCAAAGTGTGTAAAATCTTTATAAAAATAAAATAAATAATCTGAATAAATATAGATATACTAATATTATAGTTAGTCAATAAATTATTATATAAGATTATGAGGCACGAATTGCTGCAAAAGAAATCTTTCTAATAATGTAAAATTATTGTCGCGTGCACAGTGTAATTTATACACGCAATTTTCTCTGTTCGTTGATCACGAGAGATCGAAAATACTGTGTTTGATTATAACCTACAGCGCCTACAACATAAATGAATTTCTTCCTACTAAACTAATTTCCTCTGCTCATTTCACTTGTTGCTTTAAGCATTGAGCATAGATAGTGTATCCACATCTTCAAACTGACATGGGTTCTCTAAACAAAATATTACACAGATAATTATACTAGATAAATCGACTTGAGATTGTTTTATAATGTTTTTCGTGATAGTTCTTGATTTTCTCGAGTGCTTTAATCTTGTGTATATCGTGTGTGTAATAACAGATAATTTTTGCAATATTGTTCGTATAGAGAAGTATCATAAAGAGTCTCAAATCTTTAAGTATTTAAAAACTAAAGTTAAACCGTGATCGTATTCAACATTATTAAAATATCATACGAAGAATGTATCGAGAATAATAGAGATATCACGTTAGAATATTAGATAATCGTGATATGTAGTTGTCTCAAGATACATTTGTGTTGAACGTTGGACGATCGAATTATTGGACTTATCATATCTATTTTCTTTTTCGCGCGTGAAATCAAATACACGAATGCGTTGTAGTGCATTTTCGCGCAAAACGATACATGTGTAATTTTGTGTACATATGCATGTGATGGTGAAAACCAATTGACCAGTAATGACGCGATTTTTTGATTTTTATTTCCCTTTCTAATTTATGCTATTCTACTTGACGCATATTGTGCCATATCATTAGAGAGAAAATAGATGGTGAACATATTGAATATGTCAATCGTATGGGATATTCCACGATTCGACAATGTCAATTAATTCTGCCATCCTCCTTCTCTCTATCTTAGAATAGTAGAATACCCAGTCAGCGTTGCGTCGATTTTCCAAGATAGGAGATGGGGAATCGTCGTCTGGTAACCCTCTTCCAACTTTCGTCTCGTCATCTTCAGAGTTGCGTTACATTTGCTTAGATCGCGACTGTAGGTGATGGAACACTTGATATATATATTCGAGACCGTTCATATATTCACGATAGCATATCCAGTCCCGTACGTTACGTTGCGTCGCGTTTTTTCTCACACATTCTCCTCGAAACTCTTGAGGCATGGCTGATCGCACGATATTTTCTCGTTGCGTTAATCCGCGCTCCAATATAGCAACATGTATCTCACAAAGAATCTGTAAAAAAAGGCATCAAAATATTAGAGATATTTGAAATACTTAGACAATATATACAGCATAAGGAAATATATTATAACTTTTTTTGATAAAAGAGCAAGATCTAGTATTAGCAAGAAGATAGCATTTCAAAAATATTTGTAAGACTATTAATTTTTTAAGTTTATAATTACTAATTTAAAATTAATCATTATACAAGTATTAACAAATATATATCGTAAATATAAAGATCAAGGTAAATATTGCTTATAATTTTCAATAGAGGTGGTGATTGTTTCTTGCAGCGATCTTTTAGATTTTACGTTTTTTAAAGTCGACGACGCATATTGAAAATAAATACAAAAACAAAGAAAATTCCAATATAGCATAGAAAAATGAGCGTCGAAAGTCATTCATGGTAGATAAAATGGTAGTTTGACTTTTCAGCGACAATCTTTAACGACTCAACTTTTACGTAAAATGCTCACAAAACTTGACAATATGTTTTTTATCACGCTTGTAGCAATAGGAAGCAGAATAATTTATTTCATTAATTGCATTAGTGTTATTGTGACAGTCGCGCGCGCAAAATGATCCTTTTTTTATATCGCAAGCTGCGAAAACGCGGCAAATCAAGAACTTATGGTTCATCTTAATTACTTATAAAAAATTGATTTGTGATCTCAAAAATAAACTCACACTTCGGCAATCGAATTCGCTTTTCCTGAATTGATCATAAAAGCCGAGTTTATAGTGTTCCTGGTCCCAAACCGTCTGTTCCAGAGCCATTGCATATTTTTGTATATATTCAAACGCATCAACGAGAGCCGTATCAATCTGAAAATATAGCAATTATGCAATCAATCAATTATTTAAGAGCGTTTATTTATTTGTATTTGTATGTCGCGCACATTACATGCTTCGTAAAAATATGCATTTTTCAGAGATTATTCTTGTACATTATTATCAATGTTGCGCATCGCTAGCAACAAAAAGGAAGCGATATAAAATAATATTACTGATAACACATACGTCTATACTGTTGAGATACTCGTCGCTTAATGTTTCTCCCAATTTCTTAGGTATATTAGGCAGCCAATGGTAATTCCAGTTTGCAGACGGTAAATTAGTGGAATCGTACTTTATCCTGAAAGTCTCCTCGATCTGCAAAATTAAAGAAGAAAACCGTGGGCGCGATTAGATGCATTGTTTTATACAAAAATGGAGCCGCAATATTAAAGAAAGATATGCCGAACTATCATGTTTCCTTCATCGTTATGCTTTAAGCGCGTAATCCCGCGGAAATTTGAGAAAAATTATTTTGCGTAGGCGTAGCGCGCTACATCGTTCTGCATTTCTTTTATATTCATTACGCAAACATGAGTTGATTAAGATGTATATAAAATAATACAAAATGCGCATATCGTGATAAGATGATATATATAGTTGTTATTTTATTGTTTTTCAGAGGCCATTCGCATTTATTATATATGTATAAGAACGAGTTATTTATTCAATTATTTTATTTTCTTACTTCTATATCGCACTTAATTTTATGAAATTTCAATTTTATTTATTCTCTTGATAAAAATCTGAAAAAAAACCAGAAATATACGATTTCACAAAAACGCAAGGTTTGGCGCTACTTTATCTTGAATACAGCGGTGTATCTCATCGCTTAATATCGTCACTTTATAAGAGGATCATAAATTGAGTAGCGCATCGCGCTACTCTTATTGTATTTCCAGGTATCCGTCAATTATGTCAGCACTGATGCGAGCACCGGATTCGCGCGCTCGCTCTAATTTCTCTGCGGTAGCTTAGCGTAACTCGACGCCACTGAATGTCAGCGCGTCGTTTAGTCACCGATTACACGTCGTGTAACACCTCTTACACGATCAGTCTCCCGATATCCCTCGTTCCTGGTACAATGAAAACAGGCAACAGACCGTGCGAAACGGACGCTTCCGAGTGAATAACACTCAGCAGTTTTGCACCGGTTCTCGATGCGGGAGCGCGCGCGTGCCAGAAGCGGCGGCACACTGACTTTTCGGGAATACCGGGATGGGTCAGCTAACAAAAGCCAGCTTAGTCCTTTACTCAGAAATTACTTGGAAATTCAGGCGCCGGCCGAGACACGCTAATTATCCCATCAGGGATCGCTTACATCGAACGAGTCATTATGAATCACCCACTGAGCTGGGAAGTGCCGGTAGGAAAACTCGAGGAAAACATGCTACCGTTTGCGTATATAGTTTGCGAAGTCGTTTCTCGTACTCTGTTTTGATATTGTGATGTGATTTTGTGTAGAAGATTGTTTCAGTATATCTACTTTAACTACGAAGTTTTAGAAAATTAATAAATGCTATTGCAATAATTATTATGTCAAATAAAATTTTATCGTATAATTATTATTCATATAATAATTATGTAATATGTAGCATTTCGCAATTATGTTTCGCGTTTGATGCGTTCTGTCCTGCAAGCCTTTAAGTTGTGAGATAGGTCATTCCCCTCTTATTATGATAAACAGTTGTGATATGGTTTGAAGAATCAAACAACTGTCTTAAAAGAATCACGACATTAATATTCTGGCTTAACAAACGGTATCTAATGGAGTAGTGTTTATATGCAGAGAAAGATGATTTAGCATCATTGATCTCGTATCTTGAAATAATTGTTCTCCGGGCAGATAACGCATTGCATGTGCACTATTATCTCGGGCAGGAATGGAAATAATGATCGTACGATACTACTCTCATGACCTGCAATGCGATAATACTTTCGATCGCAAACAACATTCCTGAGAATCAACACTGTCCAAGAACCACGTGTTGCGTAGCCTGATAATTCATATGTCTTCAATGTCTGTGCTCTATCTAATGCATGTAATGACACAACGGAAAAACAGGTTTATGACCTCGCATGTAGGCTGATGAACGAAAATAGCGGCACGCCCGTGAAAAATAAATATATGTGACATACGGATTTTGAAGATATGATAGCGGCGAGCGAGGGAAGCTCATAGAAAGGCGGCATCGCGGTAGTCATTCATTAAATTCATTCCCTCGTTATAGCATGTTCGATCTCGTGTACCTGCGGGCACTCGTGCGCCGATCGATGATCGGCCCTTCTCACGCCCCGGTCGTTACGAAAGCATCCAGAAGGATACAAAGATATCTTTTCAGCCCATCACTTTGTATCAAAAAAATATTAAATACGCACGGTGGTCGGCCACCAATTGCGTCATCAGCTGTTATTGCTAATAATAACGATATCTCGACCGCCAAGTTTTCTAGGCGTATAGACATATATACAGGTAATGAGGGATTTGATGGGTAATTAAATGAAATTTTACGATAATTTTGTGCAAGCAATCCTCTAATAAATACATTAGCGAGACCTACGCGTCTACCTACTAGAACTCTCTGCTAAGCCTGCGTCTGCCTTTCCTTCTTTCAGGTGCCGAAAAGAACTCGTTTTCATCGTCGCGTTTTATGATGTGTTGGTTACATTCACACGTGATGATTCTCATTCCGCTCGAGTATCGATACTTTGATAATTCTTATTTTGATACAACATCAAGATTGATGCGTAAAGTTGCAAAGACGAATGATTTTTGTTTCACGCTCCGAAGCGTTTGAATTTCCTTTCCTTGCACTTTTTCTGCTGCGGGACATATAAACATGAAGAAATTGCGAGAGTAGGAACGAGCAAAGGGAGAGGTGATAAAAGCAAGACAAAAAGGAAAGAATGAGAAGAATTGTCGCTAACAACCACTGGCGACGGGCAAATCTGTGGCGCGGGTCTTTTGTGCCTCATAAAAGTCTCGTCGGCCACACTGGGGCACGAATAATCGTAAAACCGAGCTGGAAGCTGGCAGGAAGTAGGCTGGCAAGAATAGGTACGGTCTCCGCGCGCGGCGCTGCCGAGGACCCGTCAAAATCAATTAGCCTTTCAGTCTTTCTTCTAGCGCGGCTTCACCGCTGCACCGCTTATTAGAAGTTATAAAATTTCGGTGTGACGATGATTTCAAGAGCCGATCGAATGGCTCGCAAGTTTGACGTATTCTACGAGTAAGATGTAAAGAGAGAGAGAAACAGCTAAAAATGGAAATAGACATTTTGTGCGATCTAAATAAAATGGTCACAATTTCAAAATTTTATCGGTAATTTTGCAGTAACATCGCATCAATTGCGTAAATCGTTAGATCTTTTTCTGATATTTAAAAATCATATTTTATTAATCTCCATAACGTTTAAATTCTTTTTTTTTAGGATTTTGTAGAATTGAGATAAAAAATCCGCAATCGGGTGACGGTCACGTGAGTTTGAAAAATATGTTATTGCGCAAAGCAACGACGCGAGCAGAAATCGAAACGCAGTAATATACCATGGTAGAAGAAATGTGTCGTATCAAGACGAGTACATGCACTGGCAGGTTGTATATCCGGTCTGGGTTTTAGTATGCAGGCGATGTGCCGATGTGGCGTGCCCGTCAGAGGAACAGGAGAGGGGCAGCTTCCGATTCTGATTTATTGGAATCCTCCGCTTCCGATATTTTATCCGATTCCTTCACGTACGAAGATGCAGACACTGTCCCCGTCGCGATCACGACAGATTGCAGACAGCCAAATTCGATTTATAAGTTGTTTACAGGCTATATGCAAGGACGTACGATGAACCGTCATGACGACGAAACAATGAAAGTTTCACGATAGAGCGAATAAACGTACAAAAGAAAAATAAAATGTACCAGATCCACAACCGAGTGGATCTTGTCCATGTAGTAAATCAATTACAAATGTCCTCTAAAGATTCTCAATCATCCCGGAAGCTTTACGGAAAATTCTTTCTTTAATTGCGAGAGACCGCGACATATTTTTGCAAATTTTCTTCGCGTTCGCGCCATGAGATACATCGACCTTTTCCGTCGTTTTCTCGGTATCCTTGACTAATCTAATTCTTTCTCAGTCAGTAGACTGTCCATGCTGAACCGATAACGAATGTCGGAAGATGAAGTCATACTGGACCACTAGACAGTGTGTCGCCGTGAGTCGATATCAAGTGAGGAAGGCGCCCCTGAAGCTTTTCAGCCTCGACGCTGACGACGCGGAGAGGAACTTGACTCTTGTCTGCTCAACTATGACTTCACTCTTTTTTCACGCCATTCTTTTTATGTCGCAAGTAGCGAAGCATTTACACGTGCGCAATTTATTGTCTTTCCTGCCAAGGGTAAGAGCGAGTCGCGGATCCATGCGATATCGTATTATGCGCTGACTTGGAAAACATCGGTATCCGGTATCGCCGTGCGATGATGTAACGGGAACGTTTTCTAACAGCCTTCGGCCGGGCCTTTAGGGCGAGACAGACCCCATAATGCGAAGAGGCATAAATACCCTTTCCCGATGCACGCGACGAATGTTAATTTACTCGGTCATATACTCGCTTAGCAAAGTAAATACTGTTTGTGCAAGTGGAGGAAGATTTTTGTGTGGTCGTAACTAATGTTCAACAATCAGTCATAGGTATTTATTTCTGGGTACCATTATTTGGAAAAACGTAGCCGTTTAAAAATTAATGATTGTTTACTTTTTCGCGTCTCGTTTTTCGGGAGTTTGAATTTTCTTATGTTTTTATATATATAATTGAAATGCGTAGTGAAAAAGCGGTATTGCGGCACAACTAGATAGCATATAAAGATAATTTTGAATGATCTTTTTTGAAAAAACAAATAAAATTTCGCATGCGAAACATCGTCTTTGCTTTTGCGGTTTTTAAGTCGATCTCTTTTCTCAAATCGTATCTAGAGAGAAACCTTGAGGAACCGCTTGGGTCTGGTGCGTGATTTATTGTCCTTGGCCAGAAATAATAAGGTACGATTGGTTGGGAAGATTCTTTCGAAACTAAAATTTCTCGTGATCATATGTATCTATCTGTCTCATAAAATCGATTACATATTACTTTTGAAATCTAAATCGCAGTCGCAACTTTTTCTTTGAAGATAATAACTGTAATACAGAGTTAAGTCTCGCAATTTAATAGATATAATATAATAAATGAAGAAGCAGACTTATTTTTTTATATTTAATATATTTTATCTAAATATCAATTTTTATATTGTAATTTTTGAAGCGTGAATTGTATTAAAAAATCTCTATTATATATCCATAAATATCTCACACAAATTTTGGATAATCTATTATATTAATTCTTATTTTTATATTTTTGTCGATAAGAAGAAAAAGCAGGACCAAGTTAATGACGCGCTTTCGATCAATATAAAGACATGACAAAATTCACAAGATCGAGATCTTTTTCGAAGGTCTATGCGACTCAGAGAACTACGATCAATGTCCGAACGACCGGAAGTACTACCATAACCATCTTCCGTTTGAAATTCTCTCACTCTACCTATTCTTCTCCCCCCTTTCTAGAAGGCACGTTAGTAATTATCTAAGCATTGATGAATTTAATATTAAAACCTCTGACATATATATTGGCAATTTAATCGCAGTACAATTCGTGTAGATGCTAGTACTGCTTAATAGAATGAACAAAATGATTACACGCTGTGATTTGAAAGCAAAAGCAAAGAAATACATCTACGAATATAAAACATTCTTCTCTTTTTTATTTGTTGTTCCTTTCCCACAAGAAATAAATATATTTCCGAGATAGTATATATATATATGATATATATATATATATATATATATATATATATATATATATATAGTGATTCTAATCCGCATTAAAATGAATGGCAATGATAATGCACAAATAGCTAAAATTCTCTAAGAGAATGACGATGAAAAACGGCGCAAAATATAAATTCTATTACTTACATAACGCTCCCGAAACATGGTTGCATGGGTCAATGCATTGTGCGTTAGGATGATCACACTTCTTATGATATGTGCGTCGCTTACAACCTCTGTCTGGCTATCGGTGTTCTGGATATCAGGGCTGGGAGCGAAATCAGTATAAGTGCCACAAGGGTCCCACCATTTCATGTGTTCAGTGTCCATTTTTTCTTGAATATATTCATCTATTGTTGTTACGTTCTTCTTATCGTCACAGGAGTCGTTCATTGTTGTATTATGGTGCGTCGGTGATGCTAGTACAACCGCAAATATACTTAACCAGCAGAAAAACCCTGAAAACAGAAATAATCGTATTAGATTTGTCAGCCAAACAATTTTTAAGCATACTGTATATTTTAAGTTATTGATCACAATATGACTTTCAAACTATGCTATTAAATATTATGTTAATAAAAAATTAAAATATCTTTTCAATTTCTTTTAAGTAAGATTATGATTTAATATTATATAACATATAAAGAGAATACTATTTCTTTTATTTGTACATGTATGCAATAGTTGCAATAAAGTGAGACGAGAAATATTTCCTTCTTCATTTTTTAAGGGGGCATACCTGTTTGAACTTTCGAAAAATGAGTACATTTTCAAGATTTTTTTGCAGCGCGACGACTTGATAAAAACTTTTTATTTTTCTGTACAATATTAATACAATATTATTAAGTACCTAAATAAAAATTTTCAGCTTAAAAAAAATTTTTTTTAGGAATTATGCGAATATTTGCAGATTTATATTTTCATGCACGGTGTGCAACGGATTGACTTCAAATTTTGCACGCGAATTCCTAATAAGATTCCGCATCTACTAACAAAGCCTTTTTTAAATCCGATTTCTTATTTTTTTGTTATAAACAAAAAAAGATGGATCTTTTTTAAAAAGACGAAACTTTTTTTTCAACATGCCGCCATTTTCTTATTTTTTAAAATTTTGAAAAAACGCTTGGATAGCAGACAGCTAATGTGTTTAATAAAAAAAAAATTGTGTTTTTGATTTTAGATATGATAAACGAATGTTTTCATGCACATCGTGAAAATGTAAATCCGCAAATATTTGCATAACTTAAAAAAAAAATTTTTTTAAGCTGAAAATTTTTATTTGAGTACTTAATAATATTGTATTAATATAGTAAAAAAAAGTTTTTATTAAAACATTGCGTTGCAAAAGAATCTAGAAAATGTACTCATTTTTCAAAGGTTCAAACAGGTATGCCCTCTTAATCTTCATATTGTCGACACACCATTTTAATGCATGTCGTATGGGATGTACAATAGAAACCCCTGTAGAGATTGCTAAAACAGTTACATTAATGCAGGCGTGGTGAATGAACTTCGCAAGATTGAAGCCATTTTGCAATGAAAACTTAACATGCGGGCATCATTAACGGAATTGTCTGCGTATTTAAAAATAAAAGACGGAGATATAGTTCAATATTCGACGGTAATCAACGATTTGACGAGAGAGTCGCGAGATGCCTGCGTGAAATTATCATTGAGCTTTCGGCTCATTGGGCCCTCTACTCTCCTCTGTTTCCACCCTCGGGGATTCACTCGTCGATAGTAAGTGCCTAAATGGTAGATTTCGATCGAGACCGTCTTATGATCATCCGGCAGTTTCAGAATCACCGCTCATCGAATTATGTGCCCGTGAATTCGTCGTCGCATTATTACGCGAGTTACGACCCTTGATGAGGGGCCTCAGATCACGTGCAGCGATATGACGACAAACCATCAACAGTTGCGTACGCATTTGGACGATGTATAACGACGAGAGGCTACCGCATACGTGTGTTGTCTGTATTTAATCCGTGCCTCCCTCTCGGCTACCGTCTCGAAGAGGTCTCAAAAATCAAGCGATGCATAAGTCGAACAGATATTGTTGCGGAATATAACTTTGATTTATAGTTAAATCGTTTCTCGATGTGACACATTTATGTTTGTCAATATATTCTCTCTAAATTGTACATATTTTATATAATTGCCAAATTTTTCACATTAATATCTGTCTTTTAAATCAAACATAATCTTAAAAAATTATACATATATGATCACCACATACAGTCATCATAAATTTATATCATAAAAAATATTTTCTTTTATTAATTAATTTCGTCATCATTATTTAATAAAATTTGTCAAAATATGTAACAAAATATCACATTTCGCAAAAAGTTATGATTAGTATATGAATAATGATATTCCTCAAACAAGTGAAAAACATCGTACCAAAGTAGAGATGTCGAAGAGTCGAAGATTCGAGTGTCAGATTGACTTATCGTTCTCGACGAGATGAATAGTCGCGCGACCAAAAACCGGAGGTGCGCCGTGCCACCCATAGGCGCTAACGAATTTAATTTTAATGCGCGTGAACGCGCGTATGATGCAGCGTGGCCAGCGGACGCGACGTACGAACAGAGGGAGACAGAAATGTAGACGGAGAAAGAGCAAGATGAGGAGAAAACGAAGAGTGGGGCGGGGCGTAGGGAGACGCCTCGGACACTTAACGCATATTAATGAGCGGCTCTTAAGTGCGTTCTACGTTGCGATGAGAGAGCAATTTGCCGTAGGGAAGTTTGCGCCCTAAAGTGACAATGCAAAACCGTGTCGGCCAACGGCGGTGATACGTTGCCATAACTTTCGACGTAAACATGTCACGACGAAACTTCCGATACGCTCGAGAATGCAACTTGATGAAGCGCTATTAGTTTACAAAAATAATCGCAAGTATGTGATAAGCGTTAATTGCGCGTTAATTTAATCGTTTTATTTGTTCTGAAATTCACAATCAGCTATGATATGCGAAATAAAAAATACACACAAGAGACGAAGTCATGTGATCTACATCAATATGTATGACATAAACAATTTAAAAAAAAGTGTTGTTGTTGCAATGTATGAATACGTTGCTTCTACTAATTGCAGAAACAGAAACAAATATTTATTATTTGTTTCTGTTTCTGCAGTTGTATACAACACACGATAGTGTATTGATAAAAATATTTATCTTTATATTTTATTTTTGTCGTGAAAGGGGAGAGGGGGAAGTATCTTCGAAGGGACGACAATTCTAACGGAAAGCATCCAATTAATGATGTCCGTTAATGATGTTAGGAGAAACATGTACTTACAATGTACTTTTAGTCCATATTTAGCCCGAAAAGGCCTGTATCTCGAGAAACGGGCATTCACACTGCAAATATTTTTATCGTGATCCACGTAAATGATCTTAGTGTCCACGACTTTATCTCCTTACTTGTCGCTCAAAAACATCGTTTACTTTCTCTTATTTCTTTAATTACCTCTTTTTTTTCTCTTAGACATTTAATTGCTATGCAATTAGTCTTCCATGATCGGTTAAATTTGTCGACAGAGAAAGGAATACAAAGTGAAATAGATGTACTTTCAGATAAGTTCTCATTCTTGAGGAAAAAGAAATTCAAACGGCAGCAAGCTGCTTAGAATTTACTCTCTACTACCTATTCACCTAATCCAGATAAATGTCGTAGATTTAATCATACTTCGCAAAACCATGTCAATATGCGGTATGCCGGAAAACATTTTGCTATGTACTAATATTGCGTTTCCTTGCATTACAATATAAAAATGACAATTTATATTGAATATTTTTGAATGAATTTTTATACATAAAACTGAATATTTTTTTTACATATCTGTAAGATAAAATATGCAACACACAGTTTATAAACATTTCAAAATTCTTTTACTCCATTTATTGTCATTTGTGTCATTCTTTCTTACGAGTTTGACGTCATTTTCGAGCAAGCCGATGAACGTATTAGTCATCCGCCTTGTAACGGTCCTCCTTATCGATTCTTCAGTTTACAGGTTTGCGGATTTTAAATCTACACACGCCTTATTCATCATCTTTATCTGCTTTTTTCAAATTCCCGATTCAATTTAAGATACTTAATCGGAGCTCTAGAATTTTCTAAAATAAATTTAAAGTACACGAGTAAACAGTTGTATTTGCTTTTGTCAACCCACCTGTTGAACTCGGTGGGATTCCTCTACAGGTGGTTTAAACCCAGCTTCCGTAAAGTATTATAGATTTATCTTTTAGCCACCTGTGAAACCATTTTTCTATTGTATGGTAAGAGATATTCGGCGTCCCATAGCTCATTATGAGGTGTGAATGTAGCCAAATTTCTTGCAATAAACTTGCAATAAATATGTTAGTGAGAACTTAACGTGTCATCATCTTATAGTAATAAAAAATTGACAAAGAATAATCTATAATAAATTGGTGTGCAAAGACATACGCGCGTATCGCGACCTACCGCAACGCGCTTCGATCCGTGGATGCGAACGGAAGAAAAGGGAGTAGCGGGTCGGGTGTAATGGGGTATAATTGTCACGAGCAATGTGTGTATGTGTGTGTGTGTCTCTGTGTGTGTGTGTGTGCGCGAGGACAGTGCGTCATTACCGCATTTTTCACCGTCTTTCTTGCTGGCCGACAGCAGAGATGCGCTTTGTACCGGTGTTCACCGACTTTGCGAGCCATACTTTTTTCAACGTGGCCGCGAGTTCTTAGGAATTTTCGATGGAACGCCGTCGTTTAGCGTCGTCGTTGAGGTAGGCCCTTGTAATATCGGCGATGCACGGACGGTATCCGAGGATAAGTATAAAAGAGGGTAAAATGATACACGAGTCTACCACTTGCTGATTATTTTAGTGGCTTTCACTCAACATTTGTTCATTGATAAGATGAACGGAAATTACGACGAGAAAATACTATATTTAATACTTATATAAAGAACGTGTAAGTTGAGAAAATATTCGATACAAACTATTATATAAGAAGAAATTTTCTGTCATAACACACATTGAGATAATTTTGTGAAATGTAATAAAATCCGCGATGTTCCTGGATTAGATGGATACGAGAATAAGCAGAGATGGCTATCGTTTAAATATCTTTCTTTTCAAGAATGACAACTTGTCTGAAAGTAGGCCTACTTCATCTTTCGAATCTCTTTCCCCGCCAAATTTAACCGATCATGAAAAACTCATTTATTTTGAAATATTATCTGCTTATAATTCAGAAACAACTATAAATAAAAATAATTTATGCAATGCATTACATATAAAATAATTTTGATTAGAAACATTATTCATAATGTTACAAAATAAATTTTATTACTATCGACAAATGCAACAATAGATGAATGTCAAATACATACAAAGAATGGCATGATATTATATAAGAAAATTGTAAAACTTAAAATTTTCACATGAGCTAACATAAAAAAAGTATAAAATCAGCAATTGAAGAAAATCGAACTAAATATATATTTGTAGATCACAGTGAGTATATTTTTGAAGCCCGGCACATTTTCCAAGGATAGTCGTCACGGGACGTTCAATGATTAAGATTTCGAGACACACGTGGGTTTTACCCTATCGTCAAGTCATAAGTTGCTTCGGGTATAGATTTACGAGTCACTATCAAACTTTTAGCTTATCGATATTAACCGAGTAATAAAATTTTTTAGTTCTATTTTCGTTTATTAATCGATAATTCTAGTCGGATTATTACTTGTGTAAAAGAATTGCTGAAAAGTTTAGTTGAGTTCTATAGTTATAATATATAGTTCTATCTTATATTAGAAATTCCCAAAGGGTATATATATATTTTTTTTTCCCGCATCTTTCTTTCTCTCTCTCTCTCTCTCTCTCTCTCTTTCTCTCGCTTGATATTACAAAAGATTAATAGTAAGTAAGGGGTATAAATGGCTTGATGCAAATAAAGCAAATTCTGATATGATTTCTAAATCAATTCGTAGAAAGCCTTGCAACCGGAAAGAGGATGCAACTTTTATATTGACAACGACCACGCTGCGCGAAGATAGAATAGTACATTATAACAGCCGAAATATTGTTAAAATAATTACATAATGCTATCATGTTGCATTATTAATGAATGTGTTGTATAAAAATATAATAAAATTATTTATTTCATTTGCCTCAATTATATCATTGCTCGTATTATATTTTATCTTACATTATTGAAGTGTTTCAATACATAATGCTTCTATCTAAAATCTTATTTATTAGTCAATCTAGTTAAATCTTAGTTATTTGACAATTTTTGAAATGAAAATTTCAAATCAATTATTGCTTATTAATTCATGTATGGAAGAAATTAAATTTTAATTAATTTTGCAGCAACGATATTTTTTGTGCAAGTATCATAAGCGTTGAATGTTTGCTTCGTGATCAACACAGTTGATGTAAGTTTAACTTACATAGCCACGTGGGTACGAATCGGTGAATCGATGTGGATGCGGTATGAATTAGATGTATTTGATTGTCGTAAGACGCCGTCGTATGATACAAATCGCATGGCAAGCATTTTTCAGCACAATTAATCGTTGTTGTAATTGTTGCTTCGATGGAACGATTACTCGCAACGACGTCGTCCTGGCATTTAAGCGGCAATGTCGATGTTAAGTTCAGTGCGTAGCTCTGTGCGGCACGGTCAAGGACCCGATGGGACGTGGTCCTCTGATCCCGGCTGAGTATGTTTTCCATTATTGTCGACCAATTGATGATCACGTTTTCCACAATTATCGCGATATTATCGTATAACACTATCACTCTAGACGTCCGCCTCTCTCACGTCAACGATATATGTATATGAGTAATAGATATACACGTGCGTTATATATATGTATGTATATGTACAGATGCCACGAATGGTGCGTGTGTATGCATGGATGTGTTTGTGATCTAATGTCCTGTCGTCACCGATTCCGGTCACTTTGCCGAAGGGTTGTCACACTTGAAAAACTGTGCGCACAGAATCACAATCCGTTTGGCACTGGTCCCAGACACGCGATGCACTCATTCTTATACGACAGGGGGGAAGGGGGGTTGTGGGATCCCGAGAGAGAGAAAGAGGAGGGGGTGGGTGCTTGACAAGGTGGCGGGGGTACTCAAGAAGAAGAGGAAGAATCAGAAGGGTACATCGTTAAGGGTGGTCCGCGTGGGTTCTCCTCTTTTTTTCTTTCTCGCTTTTGATTATCCTCCTATACCGCTACTTTTTCGCTCTCGGTTCCTTTTACGTTCCGTTTTGTTATCACGCCCTTGCAGCGCTATTGGCTGATCGGAATAATAGTCTTGTTCCCCAAAAAGGACAAAAGATCGCTAAGTTTTCTCATCGTTATCCGAGAGAGGGTAAAGCGCAATCCATCAGACGAATAAATCGACAGGATAACAGGCAAGTAGGTGTGCGAACGAATAGAGGCAAGTTATTCATTCGTCATTGGTGTATATATAGTAGGAGTAAGCTTGTGGATGGAAGTGGAGGACTTCTTCCTTGGCCGTCCCGCGTTGCGCTTTCCTATTCTCTTTTGTTTTCCTTGTTTCCGCCTTTTTCTTTTTTTCTTTTTCTTTTTGTTCACGAACGCAGCTCTCTTTCACTCTTTCTATCACCTTGTGCGCCAATGTACTGTTAGTGTATGGTACTGGCCACACTCAGCCGACCGGTGCCTATATACGATTGTAAAGCCGCCGAAGCACGTGGCCCGCACCCCGCTTTCGGCCAATCCCCCCACCATTCACGCCCTTCCTCGATCACCCGCGCTTGGATACTTTTTCCCATCTTCTATTCTTCCTCCTTCTCTTCATCATCAGTCACCGCCACCGCCACCTCCTTCGCGTCCATTATCTCTTTTCCCTCCTCCTGCTTGCTGTTTCTCCAGCGCGGCTCCTTGCCCCTCACCGCCGGGATCTACGGTGGTTCAGGACTTCGCGACTCATTCATAACTCCCCGCGACCGACTCGCTATCCCCACTCAATCAGCTCCCACCACGCGTTCGTAGTAGGCACTAGTCACCCAACCAAGAGATGCTAACGTCGACTTACAGTCGACCTGCCGCTACATTGTGGTTTCATCTCTCGAACTGGCAATCTTGAGTATTACGAATAGATACCGGAGTTTCCTTCTACTTGCCAATTGATATTCACTAGAGCAGTTCGTAGCCCTTCAATCTTTCAGTTTAGATATCGCCAATAATTGCGATTTTATCCTTTATAATTGTTTAACAATAAGCTATCTTTTTATTTTATATAAAATATTTCTTTGACCTTATATAATTTTATTTTCTTTTATTGCATTGCATTCAAGATATGTAAAAGTAAAAATATAACCCCTAAAAAAAATTTAGATCGCAATTTGAGAAACAAAATTTAAATGAAAGATCTAATCAAAGATTTTAAATTTCTCCATTTTTTTTATTTATTACATATTTTGATAATTTTTATGATATGCATACAGTAGATAATATATAATAATTTGTTCTCGGGAAGATAAAATCTCTCTCTCTCTCTCTCTCTCTCTCTACAATACCGCTAATTTAATCAATGCATTTTTTGCAACAGAAAATATCTTTGACAGCATGCTTAAACTAATATCAGTATCATCCTGAATCAAATATACAGTATTCAAACTTTTTATATTAAAATCATAATTATGCAAAGTATCGTTGCTGGCACGTGAGGATTTTTTATCACAGAAATGTAGTTGGTCGATTCATATTCTTCATAAAAATCATAACATATCAATATTGTTGTAGATAAAATAAATCTGTCGATGGAACTAATTATAGTATAAGACACTCCACTTATAAAGATGTGCGTCAATAGCTCAGTCGTACGCGTGATTCCACTAATTGTTGTCGTCGACGAAGGCGTGACACCATTCGTTATCCACGGTATGTCGTCGAGAATCTCGTACGTCCGTAGCGTCTTCGTAATATCGAGTTTCATGATCATTGCGAAGAGTTCGTAGCATTAATAAACGGGGCTAACGATAATAAGCTGCGATTCTTCACGGTAACTACGTCAGAATGTGTATATATACATTTCCGTAAATATGTATAATAACGACACTGACAGTGCGATGATGACGTTGATAGTAATTATTGCGTTGTTTCGTCGTTCTTACGTAATGGGTTGGTGTTAGATTGAAAACAGGATCTATTGTTCAAGTTTGCAGATATTACTTTTTTTGAATTTATTGAGCACATGTATATCTCTTTTTTATTTTGCATAAAGTGATATTTTATATTGGAAATACTTGTGTATATATATATATAATCTCTCTCGATATTTAAAATCTCTTTCGGTATAATTATCTCGTAAGTTTCATATATTTAATTTTTTCTTCATAATCCATATTTGTATTGTTAATTTATCATAATTGATATCATGTTACTATCAAGTACATCCGATGTCGATGGAATTTTCTTGCAGAATCGGAAGGAGATTTGTGTAATGGTCCAGGTTTCTCCTCTTGCGCTTTGAAATTTCCCACTATGGCGCCTGTACTCCCCACTTACAGCGTCCATATCCTCTTTTACCTCCCACTTGAAATCAGTGATGACGTTTCCTTTCACTAGCTCCCGATTGCTTACGCACATCGCCGTATATTGAATTGAAGTTGGAAGCATCCGCATATGTGACAAATCCATTTGTACTTCAAAAAGGATTTTCTTAGAATGACCGAGCTCAAGAAAAGATAAGATTCAAACTGACAAATATTTTCGGGGAATCAACGATCCGGATGCGATCAATTGAAGTTAGACAAAAAGATTTTGGAGAGATTTTTAATTAATTATTGTAATATAATTAATTCCATTTAATGCTTACACGTAATATAGAGTAAATTTTAATATATATATAAATTACTATACACACACACACACACACACACACACACATACACACACACAATTATATAATCACTTTTAATGTGAAATGACAATATAAAATGTTACGTTTTAATATTTCAGTAATTATTATTAATTATTATTTAAATGTAAGATGAAAATACTAAAAATGTGTAAATCAATCATTTTAAATCAATCAGTAAATATTTAAAAAAACTTATTTTGCTGGCATAATATAAATAAAAAAAAATTTTTTGATATTGGCCTATATTAAATAATTATTAGATATTATATAAATAAATAATATATATGAATAAGTAATACATTAAAACACATAATTTGTGAGTCACATCAATATTTGAAATATTTGAAAATCAGGCAGCGAGTGGATCACATACGAGGCAGCTATTTGTAGTTTTTACTGTCATTGATTGCACCAGATGATGTAATCAATGAACAGTGAAATAGACCTTTTGGAAATCGAAACACCTAATCTCTCTTATACTCTATTAATCTTTGATTGATCAGTTTTATTTAATCAAATTTTAAAGTCAACCATCTGTGATACGTGTTTTTTCATTGTTTTATTCAAAAATCGTTAAAATGATGACGTCGTGATTTTTGCCATAGTTATGTGAATCATGACGAGAGTTACGAAGAGAAAGATTTCAAGACTATTAAGAAGTATTCAACAGGTCATGTTCAATTCTCGGGGTTAAGTGTGTCGGATATCATGTCAAGCGTATCAGGAAGTTTCACACATAGGAATAGAATATAGATTAATATAAATGAGATAGTATTTTTATATAATTATTATGTAAAGCCATTATATAATAATTAATTATATTAAAAATTATATCAATTTAATCATAGTTTATTGAAAGGATTATATATTGTATAAATTTTTATCTAAACATTTAATGTCATATAGCAATAAACATTATGTAAATCTTTTATTTTATTCAGATTAGATATGGGATATATGTCTCCTATATATCAGCGGAAAAGTATAAAAAAAGGTACACGCATCAGATATATGTAGAGGGATCACCAGTCCGCTCTGACTAAAAATATGGACTGAAGGGAGGAGGAGGTATGGGATAATCTTTCTATAACGGATTACATTTATTTACTGAAAAGACAAGAACCCTGCGGAGGAATCTCAAAACTATATTCCGATAATTCTTAAATCTCGGTCTTCTTTTAAAAGATTAGTTGTCTGAAAATCAAATTTTAGAATAACATTTGCATGCCCGAGAATTTTCATTGTTTTGACGATTTTGAATGTGTTATTCAAGTAACAAGAAAGCATTTTGATAATCTTTTGTTTATGAAAATATTGATGTGCAACTGCTTATATGTTATCGTTATCCTACAGAATGCAATTTCGCTACGTGACTATCGGTAAGAAACGACCGTGTCGATATAATTTATTTAATATTTGCGGATGTAATCAGTAAAAATCACGTGACGTTATTGATAAAGCACGCGGCATGGAGGCGTGCCCACCGGAAGAGTTCATCAATAAATTACCTAGGTTAACAAGACTATCGTACCATTAAATGCCAAACAATGAATGGAATTTATTGATACAAATTTGCGCGATAAATATTACTTACTATTTAAATGTTTGTTTTATATAAAAAAATAAGATAGTAATATTTTTTTAAAGCCTTTTACTTGCGTTTATAATATACAAACTATATCAAAACTAAATAAAGTTAACAATTCTAATAATAATGAAAATAATATATATAATGCAGTTTATTATATTTTTTATCAGATATTTTATTGTAAATTCAATTAAGAATATTTATATTTTTTTAAAGAAAATAAGCAAATAATGTAATATATAAATACTACATATATTTAAAATGCGGTTATATTTACCTATAATTTTTATTAATATTTGCATTATATATTGATATTACTGATATAGAACCGGTTTACAAGTACTTCATTTACTTGCACATTGCTTTGCACATTAGGTTAATAAAGAAGTATGAGCGAATGACATATTATATTGAGAGACGCATTTTAATTTGAAGAATGCTCTACGTGATCGCCTTCTCAGGGTTTGCCCGTCGACTTTTGGCGTAAGATCAAACGTTACGAAAGCACTGCGTAATTGCAATGCAACGTGATGAAACGGTATATGGAAAAATGACAATGCGATTAAAAATTACGTGTATATTACATAAAAAGACGCGAACACGTTTAAATATTATACGAAAGAAGAGAAAAAGAGAGAAAAAAAGAGACTAGAAAAATTTATTCTTCATAATATGTTTCATTTTTTTTGTCCATTAGACTCAAATAGTTTTTATCATTTAAAAATTTTAAGCATTATATGCAAAATTTTCGGTTATTAATTTTTTGTAGACATCTGCGATCAAAGAATAAAAATCAAGCAACTTGAAATTTAATAAATTCCAAGTATACATTTAATCCACGACAAAATATTGTGTTTTAAATTTTGCTCGTGTAGGATTTCTTTCAGTACCTTGCTTTGCCATTTTTATTTATCACGCCTTATACGACAGCGACGCATTTTTTTCTCCGAACGTACGTGATTTTCTAATAAGAATGCAAAAATAGCAGCGTATATCAAAAATGTGTAGAATATTTAAGGAATTTTCAGATAAAAATATTTTTCGCGATAGATGATATCGTTTGAATTTTGATACATTATTATCCTGAGAAATCGCAACTTTCAAAGAGAGAAAAAAAGAGACTAGAAAAATTTATTCTTCATAATATGTTTCATTTTTTTTGTCCATTAGACTCAAATAGTTTTTATCATTTAAAAATTTTAAGCATTATATGCAAAATTTTCGGTTATTAATTTTTTGTAGACATCTGCGATCAAAGAATAAAAATCAAGCAACTTGAAATTTAATAAATTCCAAGTATACATTTAATCCACGACAAAATATTGTGTTTTAAATTTTGCTCGTGTAGGATTTCTTTCAGTACCTTGCTTTGCCATTTTTATTTATCACGCCTTATACGACAGCGACGCATTTTTTTCTCCGAACGTACGTGATTTTCTAATAAGAATGCAAAAATAGCAGCGTATATCAAAAATGTGTAGAATATTTAAGGAATTTTCAGATAAAAATATTTTTCGCGATAGATGATATCGTTTGAATTTTGATACATTATTATCCTGAGAAATCGCAACTTTCAAACAATAACATTTTTTTCCTTTTTTTTCTCAGTAATTATTTTTCTCATAAATTTTTTATTGTTGTATATATATGCACAATATGTTTATATCTCATTCAATTTCTAGAAATGATGACGGCAAATATTTTCGCTATCTGCTATGGCAACGCATTATACCGAGATTTATTGGAAGCAAATAATACATATAAGAATGATAAATAATTAGAAATTTTATTATTCATATATCTTTCTTTACAACATTTATTCCAG